TAATATAGATTCCTTTCGTAAATAACTGTTCCCTTTGTCTATGAGATTCCTCCTTAAACGTTACTCTACAAGAATAACCTGTATTAGACACCTGAACACATTTTATGGCAGTACGCAATTCATTCCCAAGAACTTTTCCAATGGCCGCAATAATTTCATCCCTGGTAACCGGCTGTCTAAGCCTCTGTAATTGACGTGGAAGCCCTAATTCTAATGTATTTGGCCTATGTACAGAGAACATATTTGACCAAAAAATAATATACCAAAATATTAATAATCAGTGCCCTTGAAGGAAATATTCCTAGGTTGTCGAAGTAGGACAAACCTAGTGAATAATCCAACAGGGGGAGGAGGATACAACTCCAGCTCTTGACTTCAGAAATCTTGATTCTTGAGTCTTGAGAATCTTGAGCCTTGAATCTTGAACTGTGAATCTCAGATCTTGGACTTGAATTTCTACACCGACTTGTAAAGAAAAACTTCACCAACTATCGGCAATCGTGAGCTTACTTGCAAAAGATGATTAACCCCTTGCTATGACCAGCAAACTCAAAGTTTCGATTGTGACGCTGATGGGTTTGAGTGCATACTCATTCCTTTCCATGTGGGATGCGATCAATAAAACTGTAGACGTTTTGAGTCTTACCGTTTTGCAATCATACGTAATCTACTCTAACGAAATGAACTATTTTGGTGAAATTTAGAATGAAATCCTTGTGCGCCACTACACAGGCAAAAAGAAAAGGCGAAAGACAAATGAAGGCAACAGTAGTCGAAAGAAGCAGGAAGTTAGTATTCTGTTCGGTTTGTGCAAGACGAAGTTTGGGTAGGTAAACACGAAATGTCCCACCGCCAGAGAACAAACGCGGCTGGATGAGGGGATATTGGGAGTATGGTGAGTATGGTAAGTATGGTGAGGTGGGGAGCCAAATATGGAATAAATGACTTACTTGTTTATCGTGAAGAGAAACGAACGTTTTCCAATGGCTACGCTGAAATTCGTACACCTTCAGGAATCAAGGTCAGACCGTTTTATCATACAATATGACAAAAATACATAAATGATAAGTTGTCTTATAGTTAATTAAAGTTAATTAAAGTTGGAGGTCACGGTTCGCTGAAATTTGGTTGGTTTAAACAATAGACCCTTTTCAAGTTCCAAATTACTGCTGTGTTTCTTGATTACAGATTCATTTGCTCAGGCTAAGCCTTGATTTTGTGAAGAATATTCACGTTTTCCAGTCAAGGTCCGTCAACTTTCAAAGCGTTCGTATTGTTGAACTTGTGCTTTCTTTACTTTACCGTTGGTATTTGCGAGTAATTAGACACTGATTCGAGGCTTAGTCTGAGCAAATGAGTCTGTAATCAAGAAACACAGCGGTAATTTGGAACTCGAAAAGGGTCTATTGTAAATCATTAAAAAGGTGGTCCTTTTTAATTTCGTGAACCGCCATACTCAAAATCGTAGATCGGCCCATGGGTTTATGACATGGTACTGATGGTTTTCAACCATTCCCAAGAGAATTAAATAACAAAAGACACGGCGGCCATGCTGGAGGATATGACAATAGAATTAATTGACAATTCTTTTGTTAAGTTCCTCCAACATGGCCGCCGTGAAAACCATCAATTGAAATACTTAATTATTTGGGAAATTATACACTGTTTTCTACTTTTTACTAACCTGTAATAACTTTTTTTGCTGTCGATTCAAGAGTGTAGGAATGTCCATAAAATACTCTTCAACTTCAGGTTTCATCTAAAAGACATGCGAATCGATCATAAAATTTAGTATTCTTTTGAAAATGATATCAACCAATCTTGACGCCATTTAAAAATGGTCTAAAGAACGCATCTATAGGCACTGTATATATCGTATGTAAGCAAGGGCCAACGATTTTTTGTCGATGTTACTAATGTACAAATCTGCTTCCAATGATCCCACCCAATATAAATCCAATCCTCATATATATGGGTATACACAGGCATCCCGGAGAAGAGATTTTAGATTGAGCTGGGAAAGGGGTGAGTTATTACACTGATTGAGGAAACAGCGATGTCCAACGTTATTGCCCCAGTTTCGAATTATTTTTGTGAATAGGGAAGACTGAAATTCATGGTATCAAGCAAGCGAAGAAATCAATACCTACCTGAGATGTTAGCATAATCGATTTGCAGGGATTCTTACAAAGCTTGCAGGTTTCGGGGTTTTCTGGAAAATATGTAAGTATAACATAACTTTCGTAAATGTGTAAGTTGTGCACGTAAACGACACTAGTATTCACAAACCTTTTATGCATTCTTCACAAAATAAGTGTCCACAATTTGTTAGGTAAAACCTCCTATTACCGGGCTTGGAACAGCAAGAGTTACATCGAACCCAACCAGACATGTTATCTGATTATTTCAAATACTTGCTGTACTAGAAGGAGAAGAATGCTTTGTATGGAAGAACAAAAATAAAGTAGCTTGTCTTCGAAAAATGAAATGAACTCTTAACCACCAACTTTTTCAACTCAAAGCTTAATACCTTGTACACTTTAGTGTTTTCTACGTTGACACGGCTTACTTGGCGTAAGAAAACTACGGCCACGGTGAAAGAATCCAGCTTCAATTCATGGCAAAATTCCTTCACTATTCACAATAAATTCTTATAATATATAACGTTAAATATTTAGGTTTTTAGTATATATTTTTCAGCTTACAAATCATAACCTGCCGAGGATGGCTTCCCGAAGGAAAAACATGGCGGAATTTGAACCAAGGAACGCGCGCGCGTCTAGAAAATCAAGAAATGGCGGGAAAACGACTCCTATATCACGTGCCTTAAATTACACAGGCAACCCAATCATTTTTATAGCGTGAAATTGTACAAAATATTTTTGCACAAAATTATCTAGGATTTTTGATGTTTCTTAATTAATTAAGATTTATTCTTCATTATATGTTCCACTTTATATTTTATTCTATATTGCTACATTATTAAGAATGTGATACGATTTATGTCAGAGAAAATGCTTTATTTTGTACAAAACTCAAATATAATAATAATAAGCCATTCATTTTTGCAGAGCAGATATTTAATCCTATTTCGTGTATGATTAATCATAACCATGCATGCTGTGTGCAACAGATGTATTCAGTTGTATAATGACTAAGTATTTATCCAGAAAGATCTTAATGTGTCTGTAAACATCTTCCAAAAACACGCAAGTCTTTTAGGGCAGAGGGAATTAATTACATTATGGAAAATCCTGCATATATCCTTGATTACAGTCAATGCCATGCCTTGCAAATCTTCACTGACTTGTATAAAATCGGTGCTATCTCAGAACATTGTTTATCATATTGTTTCCTTYTCTTTTCTTCATCAAGTCAGGCATTAAGTATGTCTCTTTAATGATAAACATCTTGGCAAGTTATTCTCTATTATCTTGGATTTTAACCTCTCCTGTTTCTGGATCAACAACTTTTTGTGCTTTTTCCACAATTTCTTCAACATGAAATGACTTCATCTTGCTCAAGGGTCTACATTCTTTGATTCTAACAAGATCTCCTCTTGTGCATTCATTTTCCTCGTCATGTGCAAAGTAGACCTTCCTTTTATTCCAATACTGCAAAATGAATAAAAGCATTACTAGGTAAAAAAACCTAAGACCGTTTAGCTGTAGTGTGGGTTTCCTGTGGTAATGCTGTTTTGTGATCAGCTGTGGATGACTGCAAAATATCTCCTCTTAGTAGAATCTCCTAAGAACATGAAAATCATACTAGCTAAATCTTATAAAGATGACTCAAATATTTGAGTTAACTTATTATGCACGTGTGAACCAAGACTGGTTTAAAGAGTTTGACATTCAAAAAATAATAACAATAAACATTTCAAATTAAATATAACCATTAGAATACGAAATATAGACTCTTACCTTTTTAATAACGGGATGTAAGACCATCCTAGTGACCAAAACCTTAGCAGTTTTGTCCATTTTTGTTCCGATCACTGTCCCCAAGAACTGCGCCATCTTGGATTCCTTTATACTCATGGGATTCACCGCAGCCCTGTGTCATGTGGGCTCAGCTCAAGTAGTTTCGATCTAAAAAAATTTTTTCCCGCAAAATCAAGTACTTGAGATTCAACCTTTTATTAACAGCTCTGATTTTAAAGTGCTTTTTTCCAAAAGACTTTCTATAACATTTCTTTAAAAATTATTGGGAAATATTTTAATGTAAGTCCGCTGAAAAGAGGAACCGTGGACCCACATCACAGTGCCTTCCTTTCCAAAACATATTCGTTTTCTGTTTCGAAAACTGACAGCCTTTTTTTAAAGATTACTCTCATTTTCAAAACACTAAACACCCTCTAAGTGGTTGATTTAGAGCTGGACAAGGAAGTCTCTCCCAGATCGATCCTTGTCAAGTCTGTGTCTGCTCTTGTATGAGGTTTAAACTTTCATAAATCAGTCAAGCACTTCCTTTTCCAAGATGCAAGCAACACCTCCTTATCCAGTTACGCCTTCAGCACCAACTGAAACACAGTGCGTCTCTCAAGTACAGCTTAATATATCTTGTAAGAATCTGCTCGACAAGGATGTTATGTCGAAATCTGATCCAATGTGTGTCGTGATGCTCTTCAAGGACAACAGATGGGAGGAGGTGCGTACTTAACACTTATGGCTTATTATGTAAACTTAAGGTTAAATGAATTTTTGCAGCTCGATTGTACTTCAAAACTATTTAAAAAAAGATTTTATCCCTAATATTTTTTGTTTTTATCATTTTTAATTTGAAGATGAATACCTCCTATTATCAACTGATGGACGAATCCAAATTACTATATCTTATTAGAAACTAATATTTTACAACCACCACCACTCCCCGTAAGGGCTCTCCCTTATTAGGTTCCCTCCCCATGCACTATCACTATATTCTATATTTACAACATACAATACTTGATCAACTCACATGTTGATTTTTAAGGAGGGAGGAAACTGGAGAACCTGGAGAAACTCCTTGTAGCAAGGGAAAGAACAACACATGAAACAAACTCAACTCACATGTGATCTGGTCTGAGCCAATTAGGCTTGAACCAGGACCACAGCAGTGAGAGGCAAGGGATAAACCCCTATGCCACCCCTGCTACCATTTAAAAAAAAATCAACAACCCTCCCTTTATTCAAAGGAATAAAATATCAAAGCCCTATCTGTCATTTGTCAGTTTTCTTCGGTGACATGAGAACATTGGATAATTTGAATGAAAATACTGATGACCCTCCCTTTTATGCTGTGTAAAAACTTGATGGCCCTTGTGTGAATTCCTTTCCCCACCCTTTTAACAGTTCTGCTAAAAATTATGCTGCTAAAAAATATTCTACTACGGTTATATACAAAATTACAGATTAAAAAAAAAAAATTAATTAAGGATCTTTGTATGATGATCCACTGCAGATTGGAAGGACTGAAAGAGTGGAAAATTCTCTAAACCCTAATTTCTCCAAAGCTGTTTTGGTAGATTATTTATTTGAAGAGCTGCAGAAGTTAAAGTTTAAGATGTATGACATTGATAGTCCAAAAGGTAGTTTAAAAAATGCTGATTTCTTGGGTGAAATGGACTGTACTTTGGGACAGGTAAGCCATGCATGGTTTCCCATGCACACTTGATTAATCTGAAATCACATTAAAATCATTAATTTCATTTTCGAGCATGTTTTTTTAATGTAATTATGCCATATTTTATTATATAGTCCCTTGCTAATTAGTGCTCTCTATACCATCTGCATAGTATGCTACAGCTGTTCCTCTCTCCGCGTGCTACAGTACCTCAAATTATCCAGGTTTTTGTTAGTCCAAGACATCCCAGCCCCACTTACTTTACTTGCTTTCAACTTATGACTTCTGGCGACTCATATATATCCATGTACAAAGGGCTCAAAATAACTGCAAGCCAAAATTGGTACTTGTCTGGTCAGAAGCTCCTAAGGCTGGTCCTCTTGAAAGGTCATCATGTCCACCTATTGAGCAGCTGTGATTTTTGGCCCTACGTGTACAGTATAGAAGTTTTCCTCCAAATTTCATTCACCTAATTGTCAGTCTTTGATATTTCTAGTTAGTTTCATCTGCTACATACACTCAACTTTTAAAGATTCCTTCAGGAAAACCAGCTGGATCCATAACTGTGAGTACGACCACTGTTATATTACTGTTATATTTACTTTACATGTTTCTGTTACCTAGACAACCATTGGGATATACAAAGGCACTTGGGTTTTCACCCATCATTTATACTTATTCCATATTCATCAATGTTTTTTTGGATTGATGGAAATGACAAGAAACCACTTCTTTTCTAGGTTAACGTTGCAGAAACTTATTTTATAAACTGAGATAGTTTTTAGCCATATGCAACTTAATAGTCATTGTTAATCTTATAATGGGACCCATTTTAAGGGTAATTAAGGGTTACCTGCTACCCTAAACTCCCGCCATCTTGTTTTACAATATCAGTACTAATAATATTAATGATATTAATGATTAAACATCATCTATAGATAACAGCAGAAGAGGTTTCTGGGAGTGCTGATGAAGTCCAAATGACATTTAGGGCAAGCAAGTTGGATAAAAAAGTAAATGTTTATCTATATTTCATATAATTATATAGCATACTTGTCACATTATGACTTATAAATTAGATAAAATGAACATATACTTAACAGCTTTTTTTTAAAAAAGGATCTACAATGTGTTAATTTTCATAGGATTTCTTTGGGAAATCAGATCCATACTTGGAGTTTTCTAGAGCCAAAGAAGATGGAAGTTTTGTTGTGGTTCACAGAACAGAGGTACAGTATATTTGTACATGTAGCTCACTACTTAAAACTACTCATTAGATTTAATTAAACTACCTTTATTATCATTACTAAACGCCTTTGCTGATGGCCACATGGTTTTAACTTTCAGGTAGTGCAAAACAATCTGAACCCAAGGTGGAGGGAAATCAAAATTCCTGTCAGACAGCTGTGCAATAATGATTATGATAGAATAATCAAGGTTTGAAACTTACAGTAAATTAATTGACATTATTAATTAAAGCTATTGATGTTGGTATGTACCCTTTTATTTTTAAGTTTTAACTAACTGGAGTACTTACCATAATTAACAAGTTCTAACTAGCTTTGTTGTATAACACTAGATAACTTGCTATGACTGGGATAGTGATGGCTCACATGATCTGATAGGATCATTCACTACGAATTTGAGAGAAATGAGCAGCATGACTTCAGAGGTACTACACAATTTGTATCATTTTATATTGGGTGTCCGGTGGTTTTCTTAAGGTATCCCAACAGTATAGAGTGTTTTCATGTGATGTCACAGCGGACATTATGTGGTACCAAAACAATACACTTTCTATCCTCTGGGAATTGAACTCTATTTTTATGCAAATACTGTGCAGAAAGTTTCTATTATTTATGGCTGCCTTCTCACGTAAGTGAAAACGCTCTCTTGGGGAAAGGTTACTGTGACTACAGAAATTAAATCAATGTTATTTCTTGTGACAAGAAACAAACTTTATGTATTTTTTCTGTTCTTAATATCTTAAAACTTGGTTTTGATTTCACAGCTCCAGTGGCCTTGCATTAATGAGAATAAACAAAGGAAAAAGAAATCATACAAGAACTCTGGTATTGTTTTTCTCTCATCTTGCAAGGTAATGAAAGCATTGGAATGTCAAAATTAATGCAATTAGTATATCTAGAATCTCCCCAGAATTTCCATGAGCAGTCATCAAATTAAGGGCTTGAATCAACTAAGGAAGCCATCAATTCTCTCCAGCATAATTTAATTATGGAACTGGAAGTATATTTTATTTATTTAATAGTTCCTCATTTTCATCATTCTTCCATATTGTCGTTGTTCCACGTTCCTTAACCCTTTGCCAAAAATGTTCGCATGGGTGATGTGCACTGCTAATGCGTCGCCTCTCATCAAGCAACCTGGGTTCAATTTGCTAGCCTAAACAACAACAACACCTTCTACAATGACAACAACAACAACACCTTCTACAATGACAACAACAACAACACCTTCTACAATGACAACAACAACAACACCTTCTACAATGACAACAACAATGACAACACCTTCTGCAATGACAACAACAGCAACACATTCTACAATGACAACAACAACAACAACAACAACAACACCTTCTGCAATGATAACAACAGCAACAATGATACATTTCACAATGACACTGCTCCTTTGTTTTTGGTTATTGCACACATGTTGGTATCAATGATTTCATTGTACATGCTGTTGATGTCTATAGGTCATCAGATTACCTTCATTTCTGGATTTTATTAAAGGAGGATGTCAGCTAAATTTTACAGTGAGTAGAAATGTATTTCTTTGTATTTCATTCCAATCTGACTATTAATCAGAGTATATATCAATGTCATTCCTGCCAGGATTGGGGTAGGGGGCTAAATTTTAACCATTCATTAATTATTTGAACAACTTCATCTGAATTAGGTTGCAATAGATTTTACAGCATCAAATGGTAATCCAACACTTCCCACATCACTGCATTACATGAATCCCTATGCACCCAATGAATACATGCAAGCTCTGATGGCAGTGGGAGAGATCATACAGGATTATGACAGGTATGATTTGAGTTGGGTAGATAGGGGATGGATGGATAGATGAGTGGATGAGTGGATGGGTGGATAGGTAGATTAGATGAGTGGATGGGTGGGTGGATAGAATGATAGGTAGTTTAGATGAGTAGATGAGTGGATGGGTGGGTGGATAGAATGATAGGTAGTTTAGATGAGTGGATGGGTGGGTGGATAGAATAATAGTTAGATTAGATGTGAGTAGATGAGTGGATGGGTAAGTGGATAGAATAATAGGTAGAAAGTGTGATGGGTGGTTGCGTTATTGAAAATTGATTTATTTGTTGATGGGTGATAGTTTGGGTGGATAAATTGATTGGTGCTTGAATAAGTGGATGGGTGTAGTGGATGGGTGAGTTAAGGCATGTTAAAGCACTTATGAGTGATCAAAGAAAAATGTGGCTAAGCAAAGGACAACAATCAGTCTTATGTTTTCATCTGTTTTGTACAATTTCAGTGACAAACTATTTCCTTCTTTTGGATTTGGTGCAAAAATTCCCCCAGAAAACCAAGTATGTAAACTCGAATATTTTTGGGATAACTACCATTATGTATAGAAACAATATTGCAATTGTTTTACCTTTAAAAATAGCTATATTATCTTTAAAAATAGTATTTCCTTTTTTATAAATAGGTGTCCCATCAGTTTGCATTGAATTTCAACCACACTAACCCATATTGCCAAGGTAATCGTACTAGAGAAAATATGTTGAGACCTTTTTTAATCTCATCCCTACCTCCAACAAGATTTTCATAATTTTGCCTTTATATTAGCACCTCACAATTTTTACTTTTAAATGTGTAGTTCCAGAAATTATCCACAACCTTCCCTTCCCCCCTAGCAATTTTCAAGGGGTGGGGATGTCAGAGAAAGAACAAAATTACAAAGTTTGTATGGTAGAAGAAAATTGGAATTTCCTGGGGTAGGGGGTTCCAAAATCCTCCTTTGGGGGCATGGGGATTGATAACCATGTCAGCTGATCAAAAAGTAGTCATGATCACCCCGGCCCCCTGACTCTTTTTGCCTAAACTCTGGGACTATCTTGAACTAGTTTGCACATTCTTTGTTGCAATTTTTCTGATACAGGTCTCTAAGGTATAATTCAAGCATATCAAAGCAGCGTGTCTTGTATTACACTGTATGGACCAACCAACATCTCACCAATCATCAATAATGTCGCCTTGTTTGCAAGAACTGCTTCTCACACACCGCAAGCAACTGTGAGTAACTTAGAAACCATCACTATGTCGTTACCTTTTTTCCATATCTTACAGCCTCACTCCCCATAACAGGCTCTTCCTTGAGTTTCACTCCACATGCACTAACACTATATTATGCACAGTCACTAATTACAACACTCTACACCCAATTCATTCATTTAACTGCTACATGGTCCACTTTACTCACTCAACTCACGTGTTGATTTCATTTCCAGAATTATTATATCCTACTCATTCTTACTGATGGTGTGATAACAGACATGGATCAGGCTAAAGAAGCGATTGTCGAAGCCTCGTCGTTACCCATGTCAATCATAATAGTTGGTGTCGGAGGAGCAGACTTCCAGATGATGGAAGAACTTGATAGTGATGAAGGATTGTAAGTCATTTTTTTATCGTCTGGGATAAATAAGAGTATACCAGGTCATACATATACAATAGACCTAGTCCACTGTGTTCCCATTTTAGACAATGTGTCATTCCCTAGAGTATTTTTCTTCGTTTAACGTTTGCACATAAAAAACACCTGAATATATGGATACAACTCAAGCAAAGAATCTTATTCTCAAGAGTGACACATGGTCTTCAGGAAATGGGCAAAATATTACAAGCAAATGGATTTAGTCCATATTATGGCAGTCGCAGTGTCTTCTATGCCTGACGATATGAACTTGATGGATGGCAGCAGGTGCTTTATAGAATGTGCATGAGGTGTGGTTGTCTTGAAGCTTAACCTTCTTAAGTGATCAGCTGCCAATTTTCAGCCAAACCTTTTCCCACTTTACCAAATTTTAAAACCAATATCTTTAAAATGTAGCAAGTAACCGATACAGTGATAGTAAACAATAAATGCCCTTTTATAACAATTTTCAACATGTATACAAAGCAGTCTCAAAACCCATTTTGAATAATTTTTTTCCATCAGGTTGAGATCAAGAGGAAGGGTGGCTCAAAGGGATATTGTACAATTTGTTCCATACAGGAAGTTTAAAAATGTAAGTATCAAAACTAAGATAATCAACTAATTTATACTCATTGGAGGGTTTGTAAGGCATCAAACAATGGCTGAAGTCAAAATTGGACTTGATGTGTTCATACATTTACTGTATAACATTTATACATACAGTATTTTTTATGAAGTCCAAACTCAACTTGGAGCCATTGTTTGTGGTTTCTCAAGCGAACGCAGCAAAGGTGTAATTCCATTTCTTCAATAAAAGTTACGCATTACATATTCACTTTCAGTATTCCTCTGCACAGCTCAGCTCAGCAGCTCTCGCTAAAGAGGTCCTGGCAGAGGTGCCGCAACAGTTGACAGAATATTACAGGGCAAGAAATATCCTTCCAGGACAGGCAATGGGACCACCTCCATGAAGTGTCGTCAGAACATGACGTATATATACTTACGCCATGGTCAAATGTCTAAACACTTGGCAAAGACTTAATAAGTAGATAATTTTTTTTTACACCTAAATTTTAATGAATCCTCAGTGAAACTTTAGAGTAGGCTCAGATGTCTAACATTATTTGGGAGAGTATCACGGGAGAGTATCACGAAACCTTGAGGGCTGCAAATGTGAACATACTATTTAGGTTTCTGTTTCCATAGCAACCCAAGATGCACTATGCTAACTTCTCACGTTTTGGTTTCCATCAATCAAATGTTAAACAATCTGGGTTAGTCGTTTGATTTAAATGAGTTAAAAAACCAAGACGTTTGGTTTAAAAAACCCAAGGAAGTTGTTGAGGTCACAAACAAAGAAAAGTAAAGGAAGATTACTCATGGACTTATTGAGACTTATTGAGAAATTTTAAAAATACTGGATGTAAAATTGTAATATCAGTAGGGCTAATACGTCAAACAGTACCAAATTATTTAATTTTTGCAATAAATAGCACAAAATCATACAATCTCTATTGTTTTCTATTGTTTCATCAGTACTATTAATTTAGTACTAATTATTGCTAGTTTAGTAGAATGAAGTCACTAAACCCGTGAAATAGATATTAGACTAATACAGGTTAGTAGACCCTAATGCTCCCATTTCAAGTTCACCTTTGCTCAGTCTTAGCCTTGATTGTGTACGAATGTGTTCTTTTCTTTTACTAAGGTGCATTGTATAGTAAGCAATGTATGTACTACAGAACAATACAAGATGATTAAGATTGCACAGGTTTTGGTTGAATAGCTGAATATTTTAATGTACAACTTACTGAGACTAAGGCTGTGAGCAACGAGAACTCAAAATTGTAGTAGTCCATTGTTTTCTTTTGTGTCTGTTTGACTAATATTACACGTTGACTAACATTTTTTATTTCATGGGTTAAATGCCTTCACTCTACTATTTTATGGATTTAATGTTTCTACCCTATTATACAAACAATATACAAGACCAATAATTAAGTGGAAAATTTAATTGTTGTTAAATCTCAATATTTTAAAATCAATTACAATTCATTAATTTACAGTAAATAATTACAAACTGAATACCAATTGCATGGCTTTTGCTATAAACAATATGAGCCCCAAATTGGTTTTGGTAGGTTTTTAGCTTGGCAACAGCACACCATTAAACCTTTTATATCCTAGAGTGCAAATCATATATCAGCTGAGAAATAGTACTATTAAACTAATTAGTACATAATAGCACCAATAAAACAATTGAAAATAAAAGAAATAGATGTGTTTAGTGCTATTTAGTTTTCATGGATATATGGTTTGCACTCTACCAACAAGGGCTGTAAGTTAGATAACTCACTGGGTTAATATGTCACCCTCTTTAAATAAAGTTTATTGTAACAACCTGCCGACAACTTACCAACAACCTACCGATGCCCTACTGACACCAATTTGGGGGTCATATTGTTCATTATTATCTGTACCTTATGACCATAGAAACAAAGCCATTTCTCATCTCTCAAAGATGACATATTTAGGTAATGCTTCTAAAGTGAGGTCACTAAACCTGTGATATTAGACTAATAAACATCAGTAGACCATGTAGAATTGTTTCCTTTTGTCTAGTGACTAGTATTTATTATTTCAATGGGGTTAAATGCTTTCACACTAAAAATGAAAGCAAAAAAATAACAGTGACACTAAACTATGTATGTCTTAATGCAAATGAAAACCAAATATTATATGTTAAAATAATAAAATAAGGAATAAAATATTACTTTTCAAATCTGCAAGTTAAAGTTCATATTTTAAAAATGTTTGGAGCTGTGTAAACCCAGCAATTTCAGTATATTATGTATGCTAGTATTTAAAATCTCATTATAGTGTTTAACTTCAATACTTGACCATAAATGGGTATGATAGGAGGAGGGGAAAGGGGAGCAGAGGAATGAGTGAAGGAAGAGTAGGGTGGTACAAGGAAGAGCATGAAGGTGGAAGAAGGGGTGGTACAGGGCAGGGCAGTGGAAGGGAGGAAATGTGGGAGCATGGAAAGCAAGTACAAAGAAATGACAAGAGGAAGCTTGGGGAGGGGAGATCCCAGGATGCAACAACATTTTCTATAATGTCATATTAAGAGGAAGTTTTTTCAATAACAAGCAAAAAGTGCCAAAAACTAGTATAAACTTTCTTAATAACAAGATTTTAGCCTTGTACAACAGCCTTTCTTCAAGAGAATAGTTTTTGGCACTCGCCGCTTGAATATGAAATGAATTCTCTCTTAATAATAATTATAAAACATTTTAATATTTTCCTAATATCTTATTAATTAATACTGTTAATATATATACAAAAATCATTATCTATCTCCATAAGGAGTTTAGAATTCTGACTTATCAGAAAGGTCAGTAGAATAAAAGGTAAAATATTTTACAATTATTTAAATATGAATTACAATTATAATTACATTATAATATTCTGTGTTAGTTAAAAAAATATTAAAACAGGCTATATACATTATTTTATAGGCCTTATTACCCAAGATATAACCACCCTCGCAACCACCAGAGGGAGGGGGTCACTGGTACACTATAGCATCCCTGAGCTCACCAAGTAATTTGAGTCAAGGCTCTGGACAATGAGCTAAATTGGAAAGCATTACTCCATGTGCTTGCAGCATAACTGTAAGTGACTCACACACTTAACCAGTCGGGCGTCTGCACATAGACCACCTTAGGTCTGCATATTAAACTTATAAACAAGTAATCATTAAATAGATATTTACTTAATATATACATTACACACTACTTTCTAGCAGCACTGGGTCTTCTTGTGCTGTATCCACTAATTCAAAAACCTTGTCTACAACCTTGTTAAAATCCTCATATCTATCAGCATAAACATGGTGGCCAGCACCTTTGATTACTTGCACATCAACATAATTGTCTTGTCTTAAATGTTTAACAGAATAGGCACTTTCATTTTCTACCCAGGATCTTGCCCCATGGACAAAAGTGATTGGAATCCTTTTGTCCAGTTTTCCTATTCTGTTAATCATTGGAAATTTTGCCCATCCATATGGAATACTGAGGTGCTTGAATGCTGTCTCCCCACTAAGTAGAGAAAATTGAGGGGGRAAATAGTGTTATTGATTAATATCCAAAAAGGAACATTGTTTGCATGCAGTAAGACCACACCCTTATTGATTAATATTCAAAAGGGAACATCATTTGCGTGACATGTGTAGACAGATGCCCACCCAAATTTGTTACATTACTCATGTGAAGGGATTCAAAGGAAAGATCTCTGATTGGCTAACATATAAGCTCATTCCTACCTTGGTGTTTGTGCATTGCAGTGGTATATATAATTGACAATGGTATCATCATCATTGATTAAACTGGAGTATTTTCGTTGGAAATCTGGACGGAATCTTTGTACTAATGAAGGGCCTAAAAAATAGTAGAGAGAATTCAGTTTTTAAAATACAAAATAAGACCAAATTTATCCCCCTGCCCCTCCCCCCCAACACAAAACTAGACCTCACACACTGATGAGCTACAGAAAAACATCTACAGAAAAGCGTCAAGGACAGCAGGACTGGGACAATAACATAAGCATTTTCAAAGTAATTTTTCATACATGTGTGGCTTTATTCCTTGCTGTTACCTTTCTTTCTAGGACAACTGATGTTCTATCAAGAATGGTAACACTAATGATGATGGTGTGCACATAAAAAATGTGACAATGTCTTATCAGAGTTGCTGTCCTCTGTGCTTGTCAATGCTTATTGTCAGTCTCTATTGTCAGTTGACAAACATGTATATCACCTGGGGGCTCAAAATAGCAGCTTACCAATGGCCAAATGGCAGACCAAATTTCAGGTTTGGCAGGTGAAAATGGCCATGAACTGCCAAATGGATAATAAAATGGGAGGCAAAATTTACTGGAATGGTCTCCTTTTATCAATGCTCTTTTCTAATATGGCAGCTAGGCTATGATTTTTCTATTTTGAGCTCTGCACAAGGTAGTTTGAATCAATACGTACCCCAAGGTCCAGCAGCCCTAAGACTGGCTAGGGGGTTAAATGGACTCAGAACTGCACCAAGCACTTTGATCCAACCTGGAATCTGCCGTTTCAGATCATCTTCAGCAGGTTTTTCAGGAAAACCCCAAGGATCAACTAGGATCAGATGTTTGACTCTTTCTGGGTGTTGTATTGCATACGAACATGATAGAAACCCTCCAAGACTGTGTCCTAACAAGATAAACTTCTCTAAACCTTGTTCTTTTCTCCAGCTTTCGATTGAATCCACAAATTCTTTTTCTGCAACCTCAGCATCAGTACTAAACTGGGGCCTTGAGCTACGACCAAATCCCAAGAGATCGAATGCATAGACAGAACGATCTTTTGATAGATGGTCAAGGCTTAATACCCATAGTCCAGCTCCTCCGCCAAATCCATGGACCATCACCATGGGAACACGGTCAGCTGCTGTAGGGTTGAACTTCAAGGTCCATATGTTGTGTCCTTGCACTGTGTGCACGAATTTCTTTTCATATCTCGTTTTTAAATCTAAGTAACCAGAACAAATTAAGCTAATATTAGTAAAGGTGATCTGTATTTGTAGAAAAAGATACAGCTATTATGTAATATTTCAAACACGCGAGAGAGTTCTTCCTCCCATTTCCAAACGCCGAAAAGTGAGTTGAAAAAACGAGGCGCAGCCGAGTTTTTTAAACTGACTTTGAGGTGTTTGGAAATCGGAGGAAGAACTCTCTCAAGTGTTTGAAATTACTTCTCAAACTAATGAATATTTCTTGGAGAAAATCAAAGAAAACGTTTACGAAATTTAATGCAAATTAAGAACACATTTCCAAACCACCGTCACAGTAGAGATTTGCTTTGTTTTCTCCTCATTAAATATTCATGAGTATGAGAATATCATATGACACATATCTGCCTGGGCGCACAGTCTTAGAAAAACCTTCTTATAGCGTTAGCATGGCCGTACGGCTTTGAGTGAGCGGGGCCATACGAATCCATACGGCCCTGCTTGAATCCTGCGACCATATTGACATAATTTGCAACTTTTAAAATATCTTTTTTATTTAGGGTCATATGATAAAATGCTTATTGACTAAGTTAGGTCAGGCCATATGAGAAAATATTTGGCTTTCGGTCTTTTGTATGGACCTCACTGTGCTCGGTCCGTACTGCATCACCTCGAGCCAAATATTTTCCAGTACGGCCATCCTACTCAGTCAATAAATACATAGTATGTTGCATACTAACCCTGAAATGCATTATGGGTGATGTGTGTGCAATCGGTCAAAGGTGAAAATAACATGAATTCTAGGACATTTCTCAAACTTTGTCTGCATATTTCGCATACCATGTACCACAAAATAAAGAATGCTAATGGACAATGAAGGTTATTATAAACGTTGTTTTTAAAATAGTACAAATTGTACAAATTCCATACGATTCGAGTTGATAAGCTCAATTGTGCGTGACCGACCAAACTATACTACCAGACTCACGTTTTAAGATTCTAGCTTCAGCCAGTTCTAAAAGCTTTTCCGAAGTAGGACACCAAGAAAACCAGCTTCTTGAAGAGCCTACTTCACTCGCTGAAACTAAACTGTTAACAAAATAGAAAGAGAAATAACTTAGTAAATGTTTGTTCGCGAACGAAGCCAATTCAATATGGCGTAGAGCCGACATAAACAAATGATATGCAATCTTTTTCGAAGAAAATAAATAATTTTACCTAGAACTATCGCTGCTATCCATATTTTCACTAGTTACTGAAGCCATGAGGATTCTAAGTTCCTCTTTTTTGTGGCTCTTACTTATATTATCTACTTCCCAATCCAGGAGAAAGCCAGGATACTTCTATATCTTGATCGACGAATCGATCACTTGTGTTTATTATCATGTGATATCTCTCTGACGTCACACCATGACATGACAAAAATTTCAGCCCAAAATTCTTCAAAAAATTTCCAAATTATTTAGGTTTTTTTTAAGGAATAGCATAACATTATTTGTATTTTTGAAAAATTTTTAGTTATGACAGAGTAATGTTTGTAGTTTGTGTTTTTGTTGTTGTTTACATCATATTTATCTATTTATAGGAATGACGTCATTCATATTTACAGATGACTCGACAGATTAACAAAATGATGCAACGGTATCCCCTCCAAAAAAGTATAAGAAAGAAAGAGAAAAAGAAGATAAGAGAAGATAAAAACGGAATGAAATAAAAACAATATCAAATAGCATATCTTTTTAAGATGCGTAAAAACGCGTTTCCTTCGTTTTTTTTTTTTTTTTTTTTTTTGTTATTTTGTGGTTTTTTCTTAAAGTGTAGCTATTTCCATAATTTATACTTTTCTTCATTTTCCTTTTTAAATTCAGTTTCTTTAGGAAAAAATTTTAAAACATTCTAAGATCAGAGTTTTTCTGGGTTGCCTGTTTCTTCTTCCTGGCGTGGTCACATAGCTGAAGGGCATTTTCTTAGATTTTCTTCCAGTTCCATTTCCTTCATCATATTTTGGTCAAAAACAAACTTTATTCGCCTATATTTTTGATTATTATCAGCAATATTTATCAGTCATGGCCAATGCAAGTGGAGGACAAGCAGAACAGCCTTCTAACTTAAACACAGATCAAGTCAGCTTGGACTTTGATTCTTTGATCGAAAATGACAAGAACTCCAAATGGATTGTTTGTAAGTTTTGTAGATCGAAAATCCTGCGACCAACCTCAGCTGAATTTATCGAAAAAGAGGTGAGATATATGATATAGGAGGGAATATATATTCCGTGTATATTAGACAAGGTGATTCAAAGTAATGCTTCACAAAGTAGAAGAAAGATGGATTTGAGAAGTGTCAATAAAGGTTTTAGTTTTATAGGTTGGGGAGGGGAGGGGAGGGGAGTGGAGTGTATAAGCCAAAAAAAAAATTTCTTTCTCTTTAGGGGTAGTATGGAGATAAGTGTGAAGTGTGATAGAGAGCAAAAGGGACATAAACCAATACTGATTGCAGGGCTGTCAACCCCCGAAATATTCAAATCTGGAGAATTGATAGGGAAGGGACATGACGTCACAGCGTGTCAAAAAGCGTGCGAAAAGATGTCTTTCGCTTTGTAACATTTGATGTGATTGGTTTATTTCTGACCAATCAGATTATCGCTTACATTACAATGGCCTGCTTGCAAGAACAGCCATGAGGAACGTTTTGATTTTGTTAGCGATGTAAAATAACACAAACAATATAAAATAATTGGAATTTTATTGTTGTGAAAGTCAAGTCTCACAAGAAATGGTCAGCTTCGGGGATTATCCGGGAGATTTGAGACTCTAATCTGGAGACCGGGAGATAAAGTCCAAAATCTGGAGACTCCTGGTTTATCCGGGAGAGTTGACAGCCCTGGATTGGAGTTTGGGGGGGGGGGGGTCAGCTTGGGTGCTCAGTTGATTGCATATGTCTGCCACATTAGTGTAATCTGCTGTCTTTTCAAAGTATTGAAATGGCTTTTTTTGTGTTTGCTTGATTTGTTTGATATATTCTAGCTCCTTACTGCTACAAGGATTTTGTGGCTTTAATGGAAAATTGGAAAGACCCAGAAAAATTTGACTAAGTGTTTCTATAACATGACTTAGGTTTATGGACTTCCTGTGGGAATTATTATAACATAATGCACATACTGGCCCCCTGTCCCAATGACTAAACTCTGGGACTCTCACTAAACCTGCATTGACTCTAAGGTTTTTCTACCATTATTCAAATTAATGAATATTTTTCATCTGTAATTTTTATCTAGTTCTTCCTGCCAAACATGCATCAGAAGACAGAGCTTTGTGTAGAGAACCCAGAGGGGTTGACCCTAACAAAACATTGGATGGTTGAAAACATGATGACCTTTGAGAATGTTGGCTTTTCTAAGACTGTGAACTCTATTAAGTATCTAACATGTGCTGACTGTGAGATAGGACCAATAGGATGGCATGATATTCAGGACAGAAAATTGTCATATGTTTCACTGGAGCGTGTTAATTATGAATAGGAATTTTAATTTGTGGTGTGATTTGATGTGTACATATTATCCATTTGAACAATTGTGAAGGAAAATTGCTCCCCAGCGAGTACTTGCACAAGTTAAAAATAACTTGAACAGAAACAAGATTTAAAATTTTTAAAGGAATTAGACCGAAACCATACATCCATGAAATAGTACTAAATAATTAGTACAAAACAGCACCAATGAAACAATTTAAAGCAAAAGAAATGTGTTTTAGTGCTATTTAGTTTTTGTGCTATTTCACACATATATGGTTTGCACTTTGGTCTCACATTCACTAGAAATGATATGAACAGTTAGAGAATAAAAATAATCTTTTGTTATCTGTGTTTTGTTTCTAAATTAAATTAAAATGGTAATAAATTATACAATGATACATTCTTCACGTAACTTGTAAAATATGTCTTGTCAAGCCAAGCAAGTTTGCTTCGATTTTCTGTAAGAAATTTTAATGATTTTAAAATCACATCACACAACTGAAAGAGAGTTTCATTCGATATCCAAAATACCTGGATGTCAAAAGAAGACCAGTTTATGATCTTCTGAGAATGAAATGATTCATAATAAAAATGCAATTGATACCAAAGTCAATTCCCAAAGCTTTTCAAGACAAATTTCCTAAGTTGAAGTTGTAGGGTTGAGCTTGCATTGCATTAAATCCATTTAACACTTAACAGCTAACAGTCATCTTCCTATGCACACCCCAATTGGTCAAGAACTGTGCTGTATTAGTAAATCTTTTTATTTGTGCTCTGTTCAGAAATACAGCACTTAATGCGATTTTCCATACTCTGTGAACTTGGTAGTTACAAGCTGCAAGCTGAAATGTGTTTTCTTGCTACCCATCAATCAAAATAAATTAGTACCTTTTATGTTCTTGATTGGTGGCAGTAAAAAAACAATTTCACATCAAGCCGTTGAAATGTCTGGGTTCTCAGAAAATTGAAAACTGCAGTGAGAAGTCTTGAAAGCACTTTTGTGCTCCTCTTCACACCTCGTTTTTATCATTTTCTTCTTGATGTATTTATCGAAGGAAGCACTGAAAAAGCCATTTTCTTTAACAAATAAAATATCTTAGACTGAATGGAATTTTTATGTTGGTTTTTTGGATCACATTTCTAACTCAAATTCCTTCTTCATATTCCAATCTAAAAGGGAACTATGTTGTTTAGCTGTGAAGTCTCAGATTTCAGATATCTGACCGACAACGTTTATTGAAATAGATGTATAATGGGGTTATTGTTTGCACTCTCACTGATAGATCTCAATGCCATCCCTTCAAGATGTGTTGCAGAGATATTTTTGATCATCAGATATTTATTTACTAAAAATATAAAATTATGTATAATTTATAACCAACAAAAGCTCAAACCCGTATAAAAACAAGAGGAAGTACTGTAACATTTCAATGTTGATACAGCACCATTGATACATCGCACTGCTTTGTCTTATTTTTATTAACGTTTCTACTTTGAAATCTTTACTTATCAAAATAATATAAAAATTTTTTTGAAATAATATTTATATTTAATAATTGATATGCTTGTCTTCTCTTTGGAATAAGTATACAGTGAAAATTTAATTACATTTTTTTAGTAGAATAAAAATAGTATTTACTAGAAAACTAATATAGTTAGTTTTTTTGAGTTGCATGTGCAACTTTGGTTTTCTATGTACAATTAAATAAATAATGGTAATCTTATTTGGGATTTCTTTCCCAGAGCTTTGAATATATATTTTTGGTTCTGCCAAAAGAAAAAAAAAAAGAATTCTAAAGACATGGTGCATTGTGGTCTAGCTTGGGTACAAACAAAATGAAAGGCATGATGAATGAAAGATGTTTGAACACCCAAGCTAGAGCACAATGCAAGATGCATACATAACAAGGTTATACTAAACATGCTCTATCCAAAACAATTTCCTATAGATTTGCTAACTCTATATCTATTGCATTGTAAAGACAAAAATGATTTATAAAGCTCCTGGGATAAAAATGTCTAACCTGGGTTCCAGTGACTATTTTTTTTTTTTTTTTTCTCTGGTTTTTCATATTGAAAAACAACCAATAAGAACCACTGGCACCCAGGGTAAAGGATGTCTCTAATAATATTATTAATAGTAATAAAAGTTGTTCAACACATTTCTATTTAAAATCTGTCACCTTCCAAAGGGATCACTACTGTGTCGGAATATAGGTTTTCTTCTCTTAATGGGATTACTCCCCTCAGAATCATTCGATCCAGCGTCACTACTACTAGGATGGAGAGATGATGTTGATGACCCCTCACTGCTGACCGACACCTTATCATTGGTGGAGACTGAGCTGTCACTCTTGATTACTCTCAGGTTGCAGTGAGCTGCTATCTCTCTTAGGGATTGAGGGGTTCGAATTTGTAGAGTTACGTTATCTGTTAATTTTCTTATTGTGGTGACAACATCAATATGTTCACTCCATTTAACGTCAGTGCCATTCACACCAATAACAATGTCACCAACTTGTAAGCCAGCATCCTGTAATGTTACAAAAAATAGATCTTAATAACAACTTTTGGATTGTGATGAGTAAATATGTCTGTAAACATACCTTTAATTATTAATTATTTCAATGAATAGTGCAAAAACCTACCCATGCAGCACCATGCTCCTCGGCACTCTGTACAATAACAGGAGCAGAACCAATCACACTGAATCCAAAACTACCACCTCTTCTGGCTATGGTGATAGATCTTGGCGTACTCAATGTACTGTCAGCATTAAAGATATGTACTGGACCCTAGAATATAAACATAGTACTTTTGGTGATTTACTGTGAAATCCCCTTGATGGCAAGCTTGCTGACAGTTTATTGTACCATTAAGATATATATAATTATAAAATAGGTCATTTGTAACCAACAGTCACATGCATATGCTCAGAACCATGCAGGCAACAACCAATGCAAAAATTCAAGGAGTTTTGCTAAAATCTTAAATTTTAAATAAATTTTTATTTTTTTATTTTTTAAGTTTAAATTTAAATTTTTCACTTGGAAATTTGATTTATAAAATTTAAGGAGTTTTTAAAGAGTTGAAGGAGTAGCACTGTTAAGTGTACTGATTTGTACTGTTAAGTGTCACCGTCATCAATAAAGCCTGCACTGCACTCCACTGTTAGACTTTAGTTAGACTTACCAGCTTATGGAACAAGTCTTCTACAGGTGCACAGCTGAACTCAGGAGCATGAAGATGAGCCTTTTGTTCGACATGTGCTGAAAGGAAATTAAAGAATGAAGCTATTAGCAAGTGAGCAATGTATTATTTGTCAAAAACAATTTCATGAGAAAAATTCTTGCTTTTGTCATGAAGTAAGTGGTCAATACCAAATGAAGGCCAATCTTAATAACAATTTCTTTCTTACTTTCATTTTTCTCTTCATTTATTTTTCAGTCAGTCATCCACCCATCCTTTCATCCATTCAATTCATTCTTCTATGTTTTCATCTATTCATTTTTTCATGTGTATTATCCAATCTATTCAAATCATTTATTCATTTATTCATCCATTCATTTTTTCATGTGCTTCATCCAATCTATTCACATCATTTATTCATGTATTCATTTTTTCATGTGCTTTATCCAATCTATTCAAACCATTTATTCATTTATTCATCCATTCATTTTTTCATGTGCTTCATCCAATCTATTCAAATCATTTATTCATTTATTCATCTATTCATTTTTCATGTGCTTCATCCAATCTATTCAAATCATTTATTCATTTATTCATCCATTCATTTTTTTCGGAGGTTCATTACCTCCACATTATTATTTTCAAGGCTTAAAATCACAGTCAGCAAGTCCCTGTTCATGATAAGAGGCCTTATAGTACACTCAACAAAATTACTCGACTCTGATTGGTCGAGAGGAGTACAATTATAGCGTTAATTGTACTCCGTAGGAGTACTGAATTAAGTCGCTATGGCAACACGGCCAAAACAATATCAAAACAATTATTTTCTATCATTTTGTACTTAAAAAACATATAAATAAAATTTTAAAGCTGTAAGAACTAATCTTTTTTATGCATTTTAGTTGCGCAATGGACTGAAAATCGGCCGCCAAATAGACAAAGATGAACGGCGTCGAAAATTTTGTTGAGTGAACTATAAACAAAAAATCACACGATCTTCTCGTACAATTTGGAATTAATAGACACTCGTAATGTTTTGAAAGTTCTTTAATTGCACTCGCCTAAAGGCTCGTGTAATTACAAGAACTTTCAAAACATTACTCGTGTCTATTAATTTCCAAATTGTACTCGAGATCGTGCGATTTCCTATACAAATTACTTTTAGCTTAGTCATGCCTCATTTCTGGCTTAACGTTCTGGTCAAAATGACCCACAAGACAAAGATTTGACATTGTCTGATGTCAGGCCATTATTTTAAGTCCTGACTTTGTAAGACAGAACTGATTCTTACCTAAGAGGGGGTGAGGAGCTCCATGATATTAAACAGGGAGTGACTGTTACAGGGTACCTCCAACTTATACCACAGGAATCCCATAAGAGCCCTGCTTACCTTTGACAGGAGTAGGTGACATTGGGTCATCAAAATCATCCTCCTCTTCCATCGATATTAACTTACTCATTGACCGATTTCTAGACTCTGAAAGAACCTGAAATTGAAATCAATTATTCTATATATCAAATGAAATATTGGAAAAGTATACTCTAAAACTGATAACAGTTTGAGCCTTACCTTCTGTAGAGAGACCATTTTCCTGCAGAATCTACACAATTGTTTGGCTCGGATAGCTTCTTCGTGATTGCGAAGTGCTGTGTGTAAATGTGCCTTGGCTGTAAACACAAATGAGATGATTTTTTAGTTCAGCAACTATTATTGTGGAGGTTAGCTCTTGGGTGATTGAAGCTTAGAACAATTTGAAGCTCCACAGTTTAGGGGGAGAAAAACAGGAGAATCCTGTAAAACCCTGAGGAACCAAAAAACTTCCCTCAGTATAATGTAAAAATCTACCATTCTAGGCTGTTATATGACAGCGTCGCATAATCACAAATGGAACACTAAGTTCCAAGTTAGATAAAAGCCCAAAGATAAATACTGACAAAGAAATAACCATAATTTTAATAACTTCCGCTATTGCAGATGCTCCCTATTACAGACATCAAGTGATGGTCCTGAGGGTGTCTGCTGCGATGAGTGTTGACTGTACATAGACTTTTACCTTCACCACTGCTACCACTCTTCCTTTCCCCTCCCAATTAACTCTACCAATCAAGGCAATGATTTACCTTGCTTATTTTTTATATTTCCACTATTGGACTGGGGAATGTATAGTGATGGTATTATTTCATGTAAACTGGTGACATCCATCTCTGGGGCTAGATTAATAGTAAAACAAAATGTATTAGGAAATCAGGTAGTAGATGATTAATCTGACCTGTGAATGTAATATCATCATCATCATCATCATTATCTCTCCTCACACCAGGAGATGCATAAGGCCATTGTCAATGGAACCCAATGTTATCATAATATGTCAATTTGTAGACAGGAAGATAAATGGACAGAAAGGCAGGCAGGCAGGCAGGCAGGCAGGCAGGCAGGCAGGCAGTACACATGCCCTTATTGAACAAGAACTAAAAATCTCTATCTCATTTAATAACAACAGCAGGCTATAACTTGAACATGTGAAAGATGTCTGGACTTACTTGGACACTTGAGCAGCCCTACAGCTGTGTAGTAATGTGAAAGTGCTTTATAATAAAGGCTCATAATCTGAAACAGGTGACATAAGATACAGCTGAATGATAACCATCATCATACCCCAATAACTAATAAAAAGCTACCTAGAAAAGGAAGTTACAGTAACTGAGGTGAAGAGGCAACTAGAGGACCAAAATCATATTGAATGTATTGAGCGAATAAAAAGAAACAAATAGATGAATAAAGAAATGGAATAGAACAGTGGGATTTGATGAATGGAATGAGAAGCTTGATTGATCAATCGAAATATGGAATGGATGGATGGATGGGATGGGATTGGATTGGATGGATTGGATTGATGGATTGGAAGGATGTATGGGAAGGACAGATTGGATGGACGGTAGAATGGGATAAGATGGATGGATGCAGAAACAATCAAAATCAATCCAGAGTTTAATGTCGTTTTCACTGCTGTGAAAAAATCATTAAAATAAATGCATTTGCAAATAAAATCTATAGATTTTCACTCACTTTGACCATATTTCTCCAAGCTGAAGGGATTGCATCCATACAGATACCCATATTCATCAATAAGAATGTTCTATTATACTCTTGACTGATCTGTATTGACAAGGGTAACAAAAACATGCAGCAATACAACTTATTTAATCTGCATACACACTATATTCTTGAATACTATTCTGAACACACTTGAACACAGACTCATCTCATGTGTTGAGGGAAATTACATAACAGTAAACCCCTTGAAGCAAGGAAGAAAAAGGAAGACACCTTATAAAAAGCACCCAGGCAGACCCTGTACTTTTCAGGTAATTACAAAACTATGCTACTTCTGAGTGGTTTTGTTAACTTACGAAAGAACTCTGGCATCATAATCACAATAATCACATCAACCCCGATAGACCATTTTGGCTTGGGTGGAATGTTTTCCCATTTCAGGCTACGTGTTGTTCCCTTGAGAATAAGATTCTTTCTTTAAGTTGTATCCATATTCATGTGTCTTTTAATGCACAACCATTAAAAAAAAGATACCCTAGGGAATGACATGTGGTCTGAAATGGAAAAACATTGTGCACAAGTCAAAAAGGTCTATCGATGGGTTGCAAGCATTCCCATGAGAGTCAAAAGACAATAACTTAACAATGGATGCTAATGAGAAAACTTTTTTGTTAAATGGCACCAGCATTCTACCTAGAGGCCGCAATGACATAACCTGCATTCAAAGTGCACAGTGTACCCAAATCTTTAGTTGTGGTGTACAACATGTTTGCACACAACTAGCATCATCCAAGRATAGCTAAAGGTATAGTTATCACCTTTCTTACCTCTGCACACTCTTGACCTGCTTGTATGTTATCTTGAAAGCCATCTTGGATTTGCATTCTCTTTTCCCATAGGCAAGCCTGTGCCTGCRCCTGAAAAACAAAACAAAACATTTGGAATAAAGTAATGATGAAGGCTAGGGCCGGTCATTTTGTTGGATCATGCTTTGTCGCTCAGCTGTCTGATATGGATGTAACTCATTGCAAAATTTACACAACCACAAATCCTATTTTGAATCAGCAAGTAACACATGCTAAGCTTTCTTTATCTTTGTAATTAGATTGACTATTTATTACTCTAAGCATATACATGTGCTATTCACTGTATTTAAGCATTTGTAAGGACTATATTGTCACACTGATGTTGGCGTAAGGACGCCAAAACATGTCTGGTGGAAATAAATCAGTACGGTTAAAACTTTACTATGTCGTTTTTGATTATCAAAATCTTATTTTCAAGAGATGACATATTTTGTAATGGGATTACATTAGAAAGTATTCTAGTCTCATTGATCTTACTGTACTTATACATGAAATATCGGGGCAACCTGGCGGAGCTATCTAAAGAACTACAGCATCAAAAGGGAGGTAGGGTGGGAAAATAAGAGAACAAGGAAAGCAACTGCAGGTTGGGGGAAGTACAGAGAGACCACTAAATAATTGAAGTGCACAGCATACCATTCAGCCTTTGCAAGTTAGAAGTAAAGTGAACAGATATACTAATCAATTGTCATATATTCACACTAGCAACTCCTGACGATAGCCAACCCATCCTTTTAATGTCCTTACAAATAAATCAGTTTCTTCAGATCTTCTGTATTTTTATTGTATTCTGTACCTACCAGCATCAATGACATAAGAGCCTCTAATGTATCCTGTGTCATGTCTACACTGGGAGAGTTGATGAAGTTATCTCTGGTATAGCTGAACACACCTATGATAGATAATTCATTAGTAATCTGATTATTCCAGGATAGTTTCATGATTATCTTATTAAATTGTATTCAGGAGTAATGTTTATGATTTTTAACAGTTTTCTATGACTTTCTAAATGTTAAACACAATATTAAATGTAAGATTACAGATAAAACACACAGATTTTTTAAAAATATGACGTTTTGGCTATGTTATACTTTTTGTAATCTATACACAAACCTAGGGCATTGCTGAAACCATTATTATGGCAAAGGGACAATAAAGTCTTAATATAAAGATATTATCACTTTGCAATATACCTGCTGCTTTTTGAAAACAAGAGAATGCCACCCTTACTCCTTCTTCTGTGTTTCTATCCTAATAACACCAAAAATTTGCATTGATTTTAAAGAATGGTTTTGTAGTCGGCAACATTCAGCTGTCATTTTTTGTATGTTATCTTTACACCACCAAGTCCATACTATTATCTAGGTATTTTACCTGTTTTGTCCCTATTTGAGATAATAGGGCTCCAATATTGAAAAGAACACTGGCCTGTGAAACAAAACACCACTAAAGTAACTGGAGGTATACAA